AGTGCTTTAATCATAATGATAAGGATAATCGAGCTCAGGACCTTTCTTACACCTTTGTCCAGAGCTGAGCTGGAGATTGGAACTGGGATGGACCTGCAGTGGAAAGCACATCCTAAAAGATTCTAGAAAATCCCGAAGTTGCAGGGCATTGCATCAGGAAGATAGGTGTCCTAGAGCAGGGCAAGCAGTGCACTTGTAGCAGCAGAACATTTTCTCTGATATCTCAGAAGGTTAAGGGGGCAGTGAGGAAGGAAGTGGGGAACAGTGCACTGGGCAGGGTACAGGAGACCTTTTGGGGGCTGGCCAGTGGGAGGTTCAGGATGAGCAGGCTTCCTGGGGCATGAGGTGCTGCCAGGTGTCCTGGGAGAGTGGAAAGAGGTGGCAGAGCCAGAAGTGGCAACGGGCAACCTGCCATTGGCAGGGTGGCTCCCTCACACCCACCTGAGACTCCAGACTCCAGATTCTTGAGGAGCTTGGGCCTTTCTCAGGAGAGGGAGCTTTTCTCTTAATTCTGTCAAGTCCACGTTGTTGTTGTTTTCCTCCTCTTCCTTCCCCAGTGACTATTTCTAGCAAATATCTAGAAAAGGAGGGAAATAGGAAAGCCCAAAACAAGCCTGAAAAGTCCTCAAGAGAAGGTAAATGGCATTGTGGATTATTTTATTTTTGTCACTGTTGCGTTTAGGGGAACAGATTTGAGTCCAGGGAATGTTTGGGTAACTCCAGCATTTGCCCAGTTCCCATTTTCCTCAGAAGACCTTGTGCTTTGGTGCAATTACAATGTCACCGTTGAAGCAATAACTTTGACTATTTTTCCGCAACTAGGTGATTTTTTTTGCGGGGTGGAGGATGCTTCTTTATAAAATCAGAGCTTTATGATGAAAAACAAATGCGGATAGAGCCATTTGGTGTTTTACTTGCAGTCTTTAACAGCCAACTAAAAGACTTTTAGGTCTGGATGCCATGCCTTCCCAGACCCCTGACTGTGGACCTGGGAGCTTATCCATGCAGACGAGGAAATTGAACAGCCACTCTTCCCTTTAGTATCCAGTGAAGGATTCTGGCCAGAGAGAGGGAAGAGAGAACTAGAGAGAATGTTGGGGAAGGTGTTTGCTAGGAGGTTCTGGCTTTACCTACATGACTTGCTTAGGGTCAAAGTCAGAACCTACCTACGATTAGATATCCGCAGCAATCATTTTAGCAACCTTGGACCTTGTGTAGGTCTTTTGGAGGCGAAATATGCTTAGACTTCAGGTTTTTATTGTGTATTTTTTTCTTCCAGATTGAAAAAGTGATCCCTAGAAGAAAATGTCGCCCTTGTCCTCCGTTCATCCAGATGGATAGGTTGGAAGCCCCTGGAAGTCACCGTAAGCCTGCAGCAGCAGCCCCTCACTGAAGAAAGGGTAACTCCTTCAGCTAAAAGCCTCCAAACTTGAAGGCAGATCCCCTTTGCTAAGGAAAAATTACTTGGCTGAACATGACCAATATGATCCCCCTACCCAGTATAAACATTACTCAGCAATCCCCTATATGGTTTGAATTTGGTTTATTTTATATTGTAAATTATATTGTAAAATGTCCTGAATTTCTAACTTGCTGGGAAATCCAGGACATTTTTTTGGTCCTAAATTTGCGATGGAGTCCTGAATTTCTAACTTGCTTCTCAATTGCTGAATGCCAGTTTCCTGACCATCCTAGGGTTCTCTGAAATGCACAGGAAATGTCTGTAGGTTTAGCAAACTCTCCCCCACCCCGTTCTCCACACTCATCCCAAAAGTGTGCATTCAGCATTTGAAAGCTTTTTATCATCTTCCCTCTCAGCTCCCTTAAACACACGTGTACTCACACTTTTTATCAAGTTAAGTTTCATTTTCAATCAGCTGACTTCGAAGGAACATATCTATCCTTAACCTTTGTCAGATATTCCTAAAAAGCTCCACTTTTCCCTTCTAACCTTCAATAATGTTATTTTTATAAATGCATTCCAAGTCTGTGAATCCATTTAAAAATATATTTTTATTGATTTCAGAGAGGAAGGGAGAGGGAGAGAGAGATAGAAACATCAATGATAAAAGAGAATCATTGATGGGCTGCCTCCTACATGCCTGCCACTGGGGATCGAGCCCGCAATCCAGGCATGTGCCCTGACTGGGAATTGAACTGTAACCTCCTGGTTCATATGTCGACATGCAACCACTGAGCCATGCCTGCCGGGCTGTGAATACATTTAAAAAAAATATGAACGTATTTTTCAATATAGTAGTATGAGAAATAGGGGTAGGAAAGCAGCACCAGAAGCTGAAGGCCTGGAAGCTAGAATTGGGACATTACTTGAAATAATCAGAATAAAAATTATCTTATTTCTTTTTTTTAAAAAAAAATATATTTTTGCCCTGTCCGGTGTGTTTAGTGGTTAGGGCATTGGCTCATGTACCAAAAGGTTGTGCGTTCCATTCCTGGTCAAGGGCATGCACCTGGGTTGCAGGTTCGATCCCTGGCCCCTGTTGGGAGGCAACCAATGGACGTGTCTCTCTCATATCAACATTTCTCTCTCTTTCCCCCTCTCTCCTGCTTTCCACTCTCTCTAAAAATCAATGGAAAAAATGCCCTTGGGTGAGGATTAATAAAAAAATAAAATTACATGTTTTTAAAATTGATTTCAGAGAGAGGAAGTGAGAGGGAGAGATAGAAACATCCATCGGTTGCCTCCTGCACCAACCCCTACTGTGTATGGAGTCAGCAACCTGGGCATGTGCCCTGACCGGATATTGAACCCGTGACCTCCTGGTGCATGGGATGATGCTCAACTAACTGAGCCAAACTAGCCAGGCTCTTTCATTTCTTTAACAATCTACATATATTGTTTCGAACATCTACCATTGTCATAGGCCCTGATAATATGACAGTGAACAAAACAGACAAAATCCTTGCCCTCAGGAAGCTCAAGTTCTAGTGAAAGAAGACATAATAAGCTAAATTAAGGAAAATAAAACAGAGATGGAGTACAGGGAGGGTTTGTTTACAATTTTTAAAAAAGGTGGCCTTTGGCCCTGGCTGGTGTGGTTGGTTGGAGTATCATCCCATGCACCGAAGGGTCTTGGGTTCGATTCCTGGTCAGGGGACATATCCAGGTTGAGGGTTGGATCCCATGTTAGGGCATGTATGGGAGGCAACCGATAGATGTTTCTCTCTCACATCGATGTTTCTCTCTCTCTAAATATCAATTTACAAAAACAAACATATCCTCAAAAAAAAGAAAAAGAAAAAGTGGCCTTTGAGTAGTCTTAAAGGAGGTGAACCGAGGGGCTATGCTGGCATCTGGGGGGAGAGAGTCCCAGGCACAGGAAACAACAGCAAGTGCACAGGCTCCCAGGGGAGCATCCCGAGAGAATGAGAAACTGCTAGGAGGATTTGCTGGAGCAGCAGGTGATAAGGTCAGAGGAGTAAAAGGAGGCAGCAGATCCTTAGAGCCTTGTCAGAAAATGTAGGTACTGTGGCTTTTACTCCTACAAGATGGGAAATCCAGAGGAGAATTTCAGACAAGGGAGCAGACAGTGTCTGATTTAACACGACCACTGAAAGCTGGGTTGAGAAGGTAAGGGGGCAGGTGTAGAAGAGGAGAGACCAGTTAGAAGGCCCCTGCAGTCATCCCTCCCAGAAATTGATAAAATGTTTAACTGGTTTACAAAAAGGGAAGAAAATGTGCTTGCAGAATTAAAAAAAGAAAAAGAAAAAAAAGAAGAAACCATTATTTTGTAGATGCAAGAAAAAGATCAATTGTCAATTACTCTGCTACCATATCTCCTCCAGACGCAGTGGGCTTGGGAATCCCGGGGAGCTAGGTCTTCAGGATTTTTTTCTGCTGAGCGATGCTGAACCTAGTACGGTGTGGTCAGTGCATTAAGAATGTGCCTTCAGTCCTGGCAGGTGTGGCTCAGTCCCGTCAGGGCACATGCTCTGGTTTCATGTTTGGTCCCCTCACATCCATGTCTCTCTCTCCCCTCTCCCCTCCTCACTCCCCATCCTCCTCCTCCCTCTTTAAAATCAATTTTAAAAAAAACCAACATGAAAAAATAGAGCTTTCATGTGTCTGTTCCCTCCCATTTCCCAGACTTGCCTGGTGCCTGTTAGAAATAGACTCCTGGGTCCTTCCCTTTCAGTAAGTGTGCGATGGGGTCCATGGAATATATACTTTCAGCAAGACTATCAGTAGATTATTTGGAAGATGGGGAAATTGCTCAACTCTAGCCCCACGCGTTGCACACCCTGCGGTTTGGGGCACACAGGGAAAGCGCTGCAGAGCACCCAGGCCGCCGGCAGGTGGCGGCACCTGACCGCGAGCTGCAGAGTGCGCGCGTCGTTTAGGGGAGAAGCGAAAGGCTCCCGAAGAGCTGGTCAGCGCGGTGCTGGGGCCACCCGGCCGCCGCCAGTCTCGGAGGGAGCGGCGTGCAAGACTAGAGGAGGGGGACGCGGCCGGTGCCCCGGCTTCATTCTAGGCTAAAGTGCATCTTCAGCCGTGCCTAGTGGGCTCCTGGGGCAGGAAGGCGCAGCCCTCTCTTCACCGGCACCGAGCACTGGGGCGCTGTCACCTGGTGCAGCGAGTAACCAGCCGCCTCGCGCCTCACGACTTTAGTCCAACTGAGTTAAACCAAGTACCGGGTTCTACTACTGAGGCTCCCGAGGGAACCGCGAATTCGCGGACCGCCCCTTTTCATTGGCAGTGGGACGGGAGGCCCCGCCCCTCTCATACAGCTCTCTTCTGTGACTGGCTCTCGGGGCCGGCCGGCCACACCTCCTCCCCTCGCACATACACAAGAGTCACGCGCCTTTCAGTAGGAAACTTGGCGTGCTGAGCACCGTGGCCCTCCACTCCCCGCCCCTTGCTTTGCTATTGGCCCGCGGCGCGGCTCGCGGCCACGCCCCCATTCCAGCCCCCTGGCTGGGCGGGCGGGCGCCCGCTCCTGAGTGGCTGGTCAGCCTGCCTCTCGTGGCAGCGCCTGGCGCTGTCTCCTCCCTCTCCCCCCACCCGCGAGCCTGCAGGTTCCTCAGCCGGCCCAGGCCGGGCCAGTGTCAGTCAGGGAGGCGGACTGCTGAGCACTGGGTGCAGACGCTCCCTTGCAGTCTCGTTCAGGGGCCGGTGCCTGCACTCGCGCCGCCGGGTGGGAAGGATGAAGCCGCAGCTACAGCAGCCACCCTATGATTGGCTGTGGCTCTTGTGAACCCGAAGTAAAGATGGCGGGCGGGCAGGCAGCCGCCGCACTGCCCACTAGGAAGATGGCGGCGCGCCGCAGCCTCAGCGCCCGCGGCCGGGGGGTACTGCAGGCGGCGGCGGAACGGCTGCTGCCGCTGCTGCTGCTGAGCTGCTGCTGCGGCGCGGGAGGCTGCGCCGCGGCGGGCGAGAACGAAGAGACGGTGATCATCGGGTTACGGCTGGAGGACACGAACGACGTGTCGTTCATGGAAGGGGGGGCGCTGCGGGTGAGCGAGCGGACTCGGGTCAAGCTGCGGGTGTATGGGCAGAACATCAACAACGAGACGTGGTCCCGCATCGCCTTCACCGAGCACGAGCGGCGGCGCCACAGCCCCGGCGAGCGCGGGCTGGGGGGCCCCGCGCCGCCGGAGCCGGACAGCGGCCCCCAGCGCTGCGGCATCCGCACGTCAGATATCATCATCTTGCCCCACATCATTCTCAACCGCCGGACCTCGGGCATCATTGAGATAGAAATAAAACCGCTGCGGAAGATGGAGAAGAGCAAGTCCTATTACCTGTGCACATCGCTGTCCACGCCGGCCCTGGGCACCGGCGGCCCGGGGTCCGCGGGTGGCACCGTCGGGGGCAAGGGCGGCTCCGGGGTGGCCGGGCTTCCGCCGCCCCCGTGGGCTGAGACCACCTGGATTTACCACGACGGCGAGGACACCAAAATGATCGTGGGCGAGGAGAAGAAGTTCCTGCTGCCCTTCTGGCTGCAGGTGATCTTTATTTCGTTGCTCCTGTGCCTGTCGGGCATGTTTAGCGGCCTCAACCTGGGGCTCATGGCCCTGGACCCGATGGAGCTGCGCATCGTGCAGAACTGCGGCACCGAGAAGGAGAAGAATTACGCCAAGCGCATCGAGCCTGTGCGCCGGCAGGGCAACTACCTGCTGTGCTCGCTGCTGCTGGGCAACGTGCTGGTCAACACCACGCTCACCATCCTGCTGGACGACATTGCCGGCTCGGGCCTGGTGGCCGTGGTGGTCTCCACCATCGGGATCGTCATCTTCGGGGAGATCGTGCCCCAGGCCATCTGCTCCCGGCACGGCCTGGCCGTGGGAGCCAACACCATCTTCCTCACCAAGTTTTTCATGATGATGACCTTCCCCGCTTCTTACCCAGTCAGCAAGTTGCTGGACTGCGTCCTGGGCCAGGAGATAGGCACCGTCTACAACCGGGAGAAGCTGCTGGAGATGCTGCGGGTCACAGACCCCTACAACGACCTCGTGAAGGAGGAGCTGAACATCATCCAAGGGGCGTTGGAGCTACGCACCAAGACGGTGGAGGACGTGATGACTCCCCTCCGGGACTGCTTCATGATCACCGGGGAAGCCATTCTGGACTTCAACACCATGTCGGAGATCATGGAGAGCGGCTACACGCGCATCCCCGTGTTCGAGGGAGAGCGCTCCAACATTGTGGACCTCCTCTTTGTTAAAGACTTGGCCTTCGTGGATCCAGATGACTGTACTCCCCTGAAAACCATCACTAAATTTTATAACCACCCCTTGCACTTTGTTTTCAATGACACCAAGTTGGACGCTATGCTGGAAGAATTTAAGAAAGGTGGGAAATTTTGGTATCTTTCATTGGCTTGCTCTTTCTCTCTCTCCACCCTCCTCCCTGCGTGAGTCCTCAACCCTCAGACCAACCCCCAAGGCGAGTTGACCGGAATTTCTCCTCTCTTTTAATTACAAAGTTGAAAGGGTGGCATGGATTGGGGGATGGGTTGAACTAGTAAGCGCTTCTAGGTTCTTTAAAAGCACAAGACTGCCACCACTTGCCTTTTCCCGTATAAAAAACGCAGGCTTCCTATTTTCTGTGCATGATACTGTTGCGGCTCTCTGTTCTTCAGTGCTCTGCTGCATTCATTGCTATGGTTCTGGGCGGGTGGACGAAAGGAGGGGGCGGCTAATGTCATGCTATGCCATTAGGTTGACATGTACTAATCGCAGGCATTCGGCAAAACATTTAAATAGCTTTTCTAAACTCGATACAATCCTTTTCCTCCTCCTTAAACATTCACTGACGTTTCAGAGATTGGAAGTGCATTTTCAATAGCTTCTGTGCCTGGTTGCCGGGTGACCTGTGGGGGAAGGAAAATTGAGGTCTGCCTTGGGTGCTAGGGGGTGGGATAAACCAGTATCACCAAAAAAAAATTCACTCATTTGGATGTGACTTGCCTTAGCTAGAAAAGAGGTTTTGCAAAACACTAAAGTTCTTTATTAATATATAACTTGGAAAGACTAGAGGTAAGTTAACCTTTTGTGAGGCTATAACTTGTCTAGCATTCTTTACTCTTTGTTTATATTTACCTGACATCGAATAAAATTTCGCAAATCAAGTGTGGTTTTGGCAGAAAACTATAACCTTTAACAATGGGATGAATCCCTTTATTATGGTTTGTTTATTCCTTGAGTTTTTCTGTTGTAAACGTGTTCTTTTTAACCTTGACCACCTGGTACATTAAATTGCAGTATGTCTCCAAGTCAGCATCCACTGTTCTCGGGAATTTTAACAGGGAAGAGAAGTGCAGAGTCTGAGGTGCCCACCTTTCTTGCATTGTGGTATTTGTTTGTTTGTTTGTTTGTTCTACCATATAATGTACAACTAAATAGCAAACCATACCATTATTGCTGAAATTCTGCCTTTAAAAAAGTTTCCATTAAATAGCTTGTGTCGTTATTTGAAAACCAAGGGATGTCCAGTTTTTAAATTGCTGTGATGCTAGTGTATATGCACATATTAAAATGTCTATAAACTTTAAAACCCTGATAGTCCTCAAAACTAAGTTTTCCTTCTTCAAATAGAATTTTGATCACAGATAGTGGTCTCTCCACTGAAAAAGACCACGTGTGAGGGTGACAGCTCATTGTGTGTGACCATGATCTCAACACACTTATTGAGTGTGTGGTTGTCCTAATTCCATTTTCCTGCCTGAATGGGGTCCTCTCTGGAACAGGATCACATTGCAGTAATTTTCAGATAAAGGAATAGAGCAGAATGTGCTTCTGAGATTGGTAATTTGCATTTAAAAGCAGGAGGAGATTCTTCTGGGTTCTTAAACAGTAAACAGAAACTGTCCATTATCTCTAGGTGACAGAGCGTCTTTTGGCCATGTCATTATTCTTTCACTGCGGAGTTGTTAATTAGACCATCTAACCAGTCTCTTCTTTCATTTTGTAGTAATATCTGTAATACAGGAAGATATCTTTAAATGCTTGAAAATGCCTATGAAATACTTTATTTTCTTTCTGTTGTTAAATTTCCAATATTGATACAGAGAATTTATTCTCTATTTTTTTTTTATTAAGAATTTTTGCACATCTGATGGGTTGGTAGCAGTGTGTACTCCCTGCAGAAGCCTTTAATTCACTTATGTATTTTTCTTTGAGAATTTAGTTCTGTACCTCACAACCCATTAAAGCCTGCTCCTAACTCAAAATTTAAAAATTGCATTTTTTTTTTTTGAAATTTGGTTTTGGTTGTCCTTGAACAGTTTTCCTATGACTGATTTATTTTCATGAGGAACTCCTCTCACCCCCCCCCCCCCAAATGACCTCTCAGTATTTTTAAAATATATTCCGTAAGTAAGTGAAGTAGTAATATTTTCTCTTGAATTCTAGAAAAATAGTAATGCACAAGATTTTATTTTTGTCCTTAACCAGAGTAATGTACTTAGTTAAGGAGATAGTACAAATTAAAGGTACATTCAAGCTAGTGGCATATTTGGAAGAATGGAAAAAGTTGCAGTTGGGAAATTTGAGCCATGATCTTAAAAGGGTAGAGTGCGCAGGTGTTACTTAAACTCCGGGAATACTGATTTTTCACCTTTTTTTGATCTTTTTAAAAAAATATGTTTTTATTGATTTTTAGAGAGAGAGGAAGGGAGAAGGATAGAGACAGAAACATCTATGAGAGAGAAACATCCTCTTGCCTTTTGCATGTCCCCTAGTGGGTTTCCCTCAACCTGGGCATGTGTCCAAATCAGGAATTGAATCGTTGACCTTTTGGTTCATGTGTTGATGCTCAACTATTGAGCAACCCCAACCAGGCTCTTGATCTTTTTTGGTGAGTTTGGTCACTCTAACCTTACTAACAGCTGTGTATGAGTTAAAATATTTCACCTGATTGCTTTCTTCTTCATTTTCTAACTCAATTATGAAACAATGCAAATAGTCAACTGTTGTTTTTCTCTATTGAACAGTAGTGTGTGGGTTGAAGACTTTTTATGCTTCTCTTTCTCTCTTTCTCCTAACAGTACCAACTATTAACTCCCCGAAACTGGTTAGATCATGAAAATTGTCCTTCCTACTGAAGAATGTCTGCATTGAAGCCTTTCCTGTATATAGTTGTACATTATTAGTCTGAAGTATTCTAAGGAGGGGGGAAGTTCCTGTAATGTGAAAGAAATGAAAGACTATCTTTATATGAGTATATGTGAATGTCTTTTTTTTATAATGATTAGAACTTTTGTCTGGCTGCCAGGAAACTCTGCTTTCCTTGAGGTTGAAAGGCAGTAATCATGCTAATTTTACAGCTAGCTTATTATTATTGCTTATTTCCTCTGTGCCAGGTATAAGGCTGAATGCTTTACATGAATCACCTTGTTTAAATTTTGTAATAACAGTGTGAATCATTATCTCCATTTTACAAATGAGAAAGTCGAGGTTTAATTTAAATGACTTGTTCAAGGTCACACAGTAATTTGTTGATTTGGGATTTTAACTCAGGTCTGTGTGACAGCCAACCTTGTGCTCTTAACCACACTATTATGCCGGCCCCCTGGATCCTGATCTTACATTTCTATTTTAACTGAGTGTAAGGTTTGGTCAAAACATTGCCTCAGAGCTTGTTGGGCTTCAGACCCAGAAATGTATTTAAGTATATATCTGACTTTAAACTCATTGCTTCTGTGATGTTGTACATAATAATTGGTGCTCCCACTTTTGCCATTAAAGCAAATCACTTTTTGGCCTGTGTGCTCCTGCATGTAACTAATTAGTATTTCCACCTCAAGCATCAAGATTCATTTGGAACATGGTTTATACTAACCTAGTGTACCAGTGTGTACTGCTTTAGGGGGCTACTCTGCACTGTTTTTCTAGTAGCTAAAGTATGTAGTAATGTTTTACTCTTAGTTCTTTATCTGTTTGTGTGGCAAGGGTGATTCAAACTCAGTTTTGTGTTTTAATCTTGACTTTATTTACATGTTTTGGTAGCCACCCATATGATAATTGGTCACTGACGAGCATCCTTTGCAGCTCTGCCCCTCTGCACTCCATGCAATCAGGCTTTCTCTCTTTTTCTTTTTGTTAGTTTTGTTACTTATAAATTTAAATAAAAGAATACAAGTAAAGTCCATTAGGAGATTATGAGAATTTTAGAGGAGTGGTCTATGGTGTAGCGGAAGGAAGGGCTACATTAAAGGTGTGCAGAAAGCATTCTACAGGCTTTGATTTACCTGATAAAACCTTTCTAACATATTGGGGACTCTTAGCCACCTAGTTGTCTACACTGTTGAATTTGAAGCATTAGTAACCAGTTATTGTTCTTTTGGTTTTTTTGCTTTTAGCTTTGAAACAGTTGCATTCCAGTATTACAGAGCAGTTTTATAGCTGCTAGGGACTTAGCCAGACTGTTTTCTAGCTATTTCTTAGCTAGGAACAAGTGGAATCACCAGATAATGTTGTTCTTCAAGGAAAGAATGCAGTGTATAGTTTTCACTTAAAATATTAGGTGTACAATTCTCTCTTCCTATAACACAAGTCCTTCCATATTAATGTCCTGAGAGTTTAATATTAAGAACTTTTGTTTTCACCACCAAATAAAGTATTCCACTTGCCTAGTATCTAGGAGAATGTTTTCATGGGTGTTTAAAAGGTATGAATGGTATTGGGGATTGGGAGATGGGCATATTTGTTAATATGTTTATTAATTTTGTCTAATAACACATGCTAACCATTATAGTTGTGCATGTTTTTAGAACATCCTTATGAAATATCCAGATACTATAGAATCAGAGCTGGAAGGACAGGTAGTTCATGGATCACCTAGTCTAGTATTTGCAAAACTTACCAAATGATAAGAATTACTTGGATCCCTTTTTTCTTCTTATTGTAAGTTGTTTATTGTAAGATAATTTACAAATACCTTGCTGTCCTTAGTAATTTAAACAATGGACCAATAATTTCTTCAGACCAGGACAGCAGTAAGCTAAAAGCATAATCAACTGGCTGAATTTTCCTCCTTTACTGCTTGTCTGAGGATGAAACTTGATTTTCATTAATCCAGAGCTACAGCACCAGAGATGTTTCAGTCAACTCCTTTGTGAGGACAGCTTGGCGGGTGTAGTTGAAAGTCAAAGTCAATTTGCTGATCAAGTCAAGATGCATTCTTTTTTTTTTTTTTTAATATATTTTATTGATTTTTTACAGCAAGGAAGGGAGAGGGATAGAGAGTTAGAAACATCGATGAGAGAAGAACATCGATCAGCTGCCTCCTGCACACCCCCCGCTAGGGATATGTCTGCAACCAACGTACATGCCCTTGACTGGAATCGAACG